TGTGTGTGTGTGTGTGTGTGTGTGTGTGTGTGTGTGTGTGTGTGTGTACGGGCAGGGCCGCTTAGGGATTATTTGTAGCTGCATTCCCATCGCTAGCAAGCAGCAGGGTCTCAGATTGGGTTTTTGGGAAGTGACTGGATTATAAGGTGCCCAGTGCCCCATACTCCTTGTGCTATGTGCCTGCACAAGCCAACACACCATTTTTTTTTTCATGTCGGTTTGAAAGAAGGGTTGTTTGATTGAATGTGGTATGAGCCTCTGAACCGGGAACATTCAGGAAGGTGGCTTAGGCTGGAGCCCAGGGTGGAGGGGAATGAAGTCAGAGGGGTAGGTGGCAGGCATGGAGCGTGGCCTTTGCTAGCTGCTGGATCCCTTCTTGGAAGAGCTAAGCTGAGCAGCCATCTCCGTTTCTTGCTGCTTGTCCGGGGCCCCTGTCTTGTGCAGCCAGGGGCTTCTTTCCTCCGGGAGGAAGGCTGGTCAGGACTGTGGCCACCAGAGGCTAGATGTCTGCCACCACCCAATCTTCCTTTTCCCTGTTTTTCTGAGTGTTTCTCTCCTTCTGCACTCTCTCCTCTGCTGGGAAGCAGTGGTTCTTTCCTGGCAGTCTGTCCTCCCTCCCAGCCAGATCTCTGGACCTGGGTCTAATTTCTTCTGACTTTCTCAGGCTTAGGCAGCTCTGCCCAGTGGCATTAGCGAGGCCCTGGGGAAGCTGAGTGGACGTTGACATGGTTCCTGTCAGGCTGTTGACCCTGGAGCTTCTGTCTGGCGCGCCTCAGCAGGCCTGTGCCGTGGAGCGTGGGGTGATGATACCCCAGACCGGGTTTTGCCTTTGACTTGCTGTCTGATGGATTAGCACCCTCACCCTGTGGTCTGCCAGCACTCCCTGGAGCTGGGCTGCTGCAGAGTTCATGCAGATGTCTGGGCTTCATGTGGACTGCACAGAAGCCGCCTCTTCTAAAATGTTCTCTTTGAGTGACCTTTGTTCTGGTCAAGGGACCTTCCGTGGCCCAGATTTAATACAATTTACCATAATTTATAAGGCCACATCTTTACCAGAGTTCTTATGAATAATTAGGCTTACAGGAGAAGGGCGGTGTGACCCAGGGTCACCTGTGGAGACCTAAGGCTCTGCTAGATACAGCACGTGCCCAGCCAGGGAGCCTGTCTTGTGAGGAGCCTGACTGCGTGTTGAGTCATGGCCCCTGTGGTTTCCGGTGCCATATGCAACCGATAAAAGCCTGTGTGTGCTGGAAGGGCCTCAGGCCAGACAGACCCGCTCCAGCAACCCTTGAGGCTTCCCGGAAGACCACAGATATACACAGGGTCATTGGAAATGCACGTATTTCTCCTTCCTGCTTCTCCTTGGGGTGCTTTGGTTTCAGGAATATGCAGGTATCTTTTGTTTGTTCAAATGCACACACGTGGTAGCTAGGTGAGTGTTTCACACGTAAACGTGTAGAAGGTTGCCATAAAACTTCACAGCTTAGTTTTCTTCCGAGTGGATGTATGCTCCCCGTCTCCATAGGCTTGTCCTCACAACAGGCCGGCTGCAGCTGAGAAGGCTCAGCTCTGGGAGGCCCAGCGGCCTACTGAGGTCCCGCCTTGTAGTTCAGAGTGGGGTCTGGGTCAGCCTACAGGGCTACTGCCAGGCTGAGCTCTTTGGGGCGCAGCGTGAAGCCTTGGTGGGCACAGTGAGGGCAGATGGTGGTAGAGCCTGTTTGTGTTTTGTTTCAGGGCCCTCTTTACCTATGAAGGCAACAGCAATGACATCCGTGTGGCTGGCACTGGGGGTGAGTATGATAAGTGAGGAAGCAGATGGGCTCTTATGGACCATCAGGAGGCAGAAGCCCGGGAGGGAGGGTGAGGCGCGTGGAGGGGAGGGAGTCGTGACGTCACTGCTCCATCTCTGCTGGCATTTCAGCCGCCACAGGCGGGAGGAAGGGCACTCAGGGTGCACAGGTGTCCCCCGCGTGTGGCGTGACTACAGTGACACCTCCCTTGGCTAAGGGTGAGCCTCCCCCACGTCAGTTTCATTCAATGTTCAGGAATTCCCTGGTGCCCTGATCGGGCCGGCTGCAGCCAGCCAGGCAGGACAGAGGCTCCCACTGAGCAGTGTGGGCCCCCTGGCACTCACAGCTCCTCCTGGCCAGCTTTGGGTTTCAGATGTTTCTAAGTGAAAATACCTTCTCCTTGGCTTTCTCTGCCTGGTGGTGCGAGGCAGCGCTGCTCTCTGTCTGTGTTGTAGTTGGAAGAGCTGAGATGGGAGATAGTCCAGCCCACTCCAGCTTGCAGGCAGCCCAAGGCCGGGCCTGTGCTGCATCCTTAGCCCTGGGCTGCAGCTGGGAGGGTAACAGTCCCACAGAGCTGGGTGCTCGTGGTGGAGGAGAAGGTGCGGACACATCCTTCCCTCTGTCCTCTTCCTGCTGGGCACACCCTTACCCAGGAGAGGTCACATCAGTGCACATTGGTCCACTGGGACAGGGTGACCTGGAAAAGTGCTACTCAAATACGGGATGATAGGAAGTGCCTCGGGAAGAACAGGCTCTTGGCCAGTGCTGGGCAGAGGGGTAGAAACTGCAGGCCCCCCACCTGATACCCCTAACTCCTCGTTCTCAAGGCCAGCTCACCTGACCTGAGTGACACGGCTTCACTGTTCAGTGCATGTTCACCAGCATGTTCTCTGCTTGCCCCATGAATGGTTCTGGTGACTTGTTGGTAGAAAACGTCTCCCTCTTTCGAGTGCCTCTCCTTAGTGGTCCTCTTTCTAGAAGGACTGCCACTGACAGTGGTCTCAGGTGCAGTGTGATGCCATAGGGGACTGAGAATTGCAGAGCTCAGCTGAGTTTCATACCACCATCCTCAGTGGTATTCACAGGCTCTGCTGTAAGAGCCCAGAGCAGGGCCTCAGGACTGCCCCAGGTTCCCTGGAGCCCTGTAGCTAAAATACCTGATCCAGGTCCTTCTCACAGTCTGAGGAGGTTTGGGACACCTGATGAGAACCCAAAACTCTAGTACATGCTGGGGCTCACAGCCTGAGTGTCAGGGGAGAACGGCATAGGGTGGTTCATTTCTATGCCCCATCACTCCCTTATCCCCACTCAGAGAGTCTAAGAGCTGAGGCCCTATATGGCGGAGAGTTAACATCTGCTTGGGACCCTCTGGGTGGCCCTGGAGTCTGAGCAGACGTGGGTAAGGGCAGGGTGACTCACATCAGGCCCTGTTATTCCAGGGCGGTTTGTGGAGTCCAGGCAATGGTAAAATTGTTGCAGAGCCCCTCCATTTGGAGGTCTGGTGCCTGCCTGGTTTGTAGCGTAAATGACATTTTTACTTCCAGAATTACGTGTGGGTTTACAGGAGTGGTTTTTAGACTAGTGTGGCTTAAAAAATCACCTGAGGTGCCTTTCCTTCCTCCCTCCCTCCCTCCCTTCCTTCCTTTGTCTTCATTGCCTCTTAGGGACTTCTCTTGTTGTGGTGAGCGGGGCTGAGGTGCTTTTCACAAATGTAGATCCTGGGTCCCATCCAGTTCTCATAAGTCAGCTTAGTGCGGGTAGTCCTAGGAATCTGGTTCAGACGCAGATGGGGCTGAGAACCCTGGTTTAGAGGCAGCTGGGGTTCCTTTTTCTGATGGACTAGGTGCCAGGGTGGGCGTGGGGTGCCTGGCCTGCCCCTGACTCTCCTTGTGACTGCTGCAGAGGGGGGCCTGGAGGAAATGGTGGAGGAGCTCAACAGTGGGAAGGTGATGTACGCCTTCTGCAGAGTGAAGGACCCAAACTCCGGCCTGCCCAAGTTTGTCCTCATCAACTGGGTATGTGGAACTTGAGGGCTTCTGAGTTCTCACCTAGGTGTGACCTGGAAAAACTCCCTTTTCTTCCTTTGTGCTTTGCCTTTTGTGAGTGGAGTGGAAGAGGACCTGACTTTAGAACAGCTTGAATCTGGTGAATGAACAGAATAGTGGATTAATTCAGTGTGGCCCAAAGAATACCTAGGGCCTTGCTAGTGCAGAATTCACTGTTCCAGCCCAGAACTACTCCTGTGAATGGACTACACACAATCACAGGGCACTCATGTTCTTGTCCCCTTCAGGGTAGTCATCCTGAGGGAGCAGAGTGCCTGGATTAGGGCTGGGAGGGCACTGGGAGTATAGGACCGGGGCTCTAGTGAAGTGGAGCCCCCTGGGTGGGGACTAGGGAATTCTAAGGCAACGCCCCACAGTGGACGCTGGTGACTGTCCTGCTCCAAGAACCTCCCTGACTCGGAGGTATGGGGGCTCACCGTGTCCTCTGCTTTGGGGTTGTGGTTTGCTTTTTCCCGGGACACAGGGAAACTGCTGAGTCCCTGGAGTGGGCAGTGGCTTTGCGGGGAGACCTGGGTCACACCGAGGAATTGGCGGGTCATGCTGGGTGTGCTGTGTTGCAGACCGGCGAGGGTGTGAATGACGTGCGGAAGGGAGCGTGCGCCAACCACGTCAGCACCATGGCCAGCTTCCTGAAGGTGAGGGCTGCTCTGTACAGGGCCTCACAGAGTTCACCAGGTCCCTAGGTTCCAGGGTGTGAGTGAGCGGGAATCACAGCCAGAGTCGGAAGTGTGCCTCACGTCCCGATGATCTGTCTGGACTTCAGGGCGTAGCCAGAGGCTGCTCTCGTCTTGCCCAGGAGGTAGCCAGAGCCACCTGCAAGCTGGCTTCAGCGGGAAGGAAGGACGAAGGACCTTGAGGAGGCCCTGCTGGAGCTGGTCTTGGGGCGGGGCTAGGCCTTGGGCTGCATTTGTTTTATAAGTACAAACTTCTAGCAGTACTAGGAGGATTTGGACGAGAAGGAAAGCTGCTTCTGCTCGCAACCTCAACGTGCATGTTCCCTTTAACGCATTCTTTCTGGTCCATTTCTGCACGTATTTATTTCAGTCATCATATAATGGAACCTTGTTTAACTTCAAAAGCATTTTGTATCAAAAAGCGTTTGTTGTTCACTTGTCAGCTTACTCTTTGCATTTCTTTGGTTACTGGCAAGGAGGCTCAGGACTTTGTTTTCTGGTTCTGCCAACGCTTCTTCAGATGCACCTCAGTTTCTCCATCTAGGAGCTGAAAGAGAAGGTCCCAAACTTATTGGTATTTAGTAACAACAAGGTCATAGTTGTAACTTCTCAAGAAGAAATCAGTAACTTGCTTTTTGTAGAAAATGTGTTTGTTTCCAGATGACTTTGAAGGTTGGATTTCATTCACTAGAAAGAAGCCCTTTAATGCCGGGGCTGTCTTACAGCGGCACAGAACAGGCCACACCGTGGAGGGCAAGGGCCTCCCACGCAGGCTGGGACAAGAGCGATGGGTTTCCCTCAGCTGGTTTTTCTGAGGCCTCGGGACGAGCGTGCCTTGGTTCCTGGCAGGGTCTCCCGACCCTGAGCGCGGTGCAGCTGTTGCGCTGTGCAGGCCGAGGTGTGCGGCCTGTCTTCTCCTGGGATTGCAATGCTGCTTCTTCATTAAGTGTCGCTCCTGCTGCAGGGGGCCCACGTGACCGTCAACGCCAGGGCCGAGGAGGACGTGGAGCCCGAGTGGATCATGCAGAAGGTGGCCAGGGCCTCCGGGGCCAACTACACCTTCCACGGAGAGAGCAGCCGCTTCCATGACACGGGCCCCCAGGCCCCGGTGGTGAGTGCTGTGTGGGCCTGAGGTGGCCGGGCAGGAGCACGCGGTTCTAGCTGTGGACCGATTCGGCCCGCCCTCAGCGCTTTCTCCCTCGGGGGCTGGGCTCCCCCTGCCTGGCTTCCGGTCCTGGAGCCGGACTGAGGTGCAGATGGTGACCCCGAGCCTGACAGGAGCAAGAGCTGCCTGCTGGTGAGGTGGGTGCTGGTGGGCATGAGGCGTGGCCTTTGACCCTGCCTGGTAGTTCCAGAGCCTCTTGTGTGTGCGCAGAGGTTCTCTGTGGGGAAATTCCATCCACCCTCCAGGCCGTGGCCCCAGAGTGTCCTGTGCCGCCCTGGATGGTGGTTGCTTTGGAGAAACTTCTGGTGGTGGACAGGGCAGGCCCCTCTGAGTTGTGGGCAGACGGACGCCTGTGGGCCTGTGGTCCGGTGCGGGATGGGAGCTGGGGTTCTTGGAGACCCTGTGGGCGCTGCCATGGCAGTCAGCTGTCTGAGGGCCCCTGTCCAGAGGCCTGCCTCAGAACTGCCCCGCCTCCAGGAATCTCAGGCAGGCCAAGGGGCCTTTCCTGCCTTGGCTTCCATCCACAGGGGCCTGGTGCAGCCAGAGACTCCTCCAGTGTTGTCTGGGGTTGAGCTTCCCCACTTGTGGTTTCCAGGGCCTTTCAGGCCCTCTTGGTATCAGTCTCCTTATGGGCCACCGGGCCAGGCGCCACTCCGCCTGTCGGGTGCCATCCTAACAGTTCTTACCTGCATGCTCTGCTCTGTCGACGACCCTGTAGTGAATTCTCTGTCCGCCTCAGGGCTCTGTGTACCAGAAGACCAACGCCGTGTCTGAGATCAAAAGGGTTGGCAAAGACAGCTTCTGGGCCAAGGCAGAGGTAAGTGCCGCCCAGGGCATGAGGATGAGAGCTGGCATTCGGTCTGGTCCCATATGCAGCAGACAGGAGGAAGTGGTTTACTCGCTGTGTCTCGGTTTTTCCTACAATAAGCTCCTAGATCAGATGTCCTTGGTAGCACCCATTCGCAGATGGTTGAACTAGGGGTCAGAGGTGTTAGGGAACAAGGCCAGGCAGCGAGTGTTGCTGTAGAGCCCACACTTGACCGCGGCCCGTGCGGGCTGCCTGGGCGGGTCCATGCCGCCGGCAGCGCCGAGGCCGAGGGGGCAGCCGCCTGCGCCTCTCCCCGCAGAAGGAGGAGGAGAACCGCAAGCTGGAGGAGAAGCGGCGGGCGGAGGAGGAGCGGCGGCGGCTGGAGCAGGAGCGCCGAGAGCGGGAGCTGCGTGAGGCCGCCCTCCGGGAGCAGCGCCACCAGCAGCAGGGCGGCGAGGCCGGGCCCCACAGGTGCGGCGGTGCTGCCCCCACCTCCTCTCTCCTCCCGAGGGCTGTCCCCCAGGGCAGGGGAGGGGGGGCCGAGGCCGGGCTGCAGCTCTTGCCTCTGCCCCTCCCAGCAGGAAGTATGAGCAGCAGGAAGTGCTTTCAAGGAGCGGAGAGGAGCAGGTGAGTCTTGAGGGCCAGAGTGATGCGTGCGGGTCCCCGACCAGCTGAGGCTCGTCTGGGACAGGTGCGCAGGCTGCCTGCGGTGAGCCGTGGTGGCCGTGTGGGTCCCTCCAGATGCACACACCCCACCCAGCAGGCCTGAGGGAGGCGCTTACTGGGAGGGGCCTGCAGCCTGCTGGGGCAGATTAGAACGTAGGACACGTGGTGTGTCAGGGCCGTCAGTGGAGAGGAGAGCCAAGGGCAGAAGCTCAGCCCGGCATGGACCTCCGCCTGATGCTGGAAGAGGCCTGTGAGCCCCTCAGCTTTGGTGTTTTGCTTCCTGACCCCCTGCACAGCTGCAGGGAGCCAGGCAGGCCGATGGCTCCCGGATCCTCATTCACTGCCGGCTCCGTGCGCGCTCCTTCAGGAGCCTGTCTGTCCACAGCCAGCACACCCACGGGAGATTTTCAAGCAGAAGGAGAGGGCCGTGTCCACCACGCCCATCTCCAGCCCCCAGCCAGGTGAGACTTTGCTCTGCGCCCAGCTGTGAGGCAGGGGAAGGCTGAAGGGGAGCCTGGGGTCCCAGGGCAGGGCCCCCTGACTTAGTGACAGATGTATCAGAAGGTGAAAGGGATGAGTAAGGAGAGCCTGTGCTCATGAGGGTTGCTTCTTGCACGGGAGCCGGGGACCTGGGTGTCCCCTTCCTGCTCTTGACGTGGTGGGACAAGAGGGGCCGTGTGTGGCTCTAGAGTGGACACCCTCCAGCCCCGGCCCTGTAAATCCCCCAACGTTGGGCTGTTAGCTGGGTCTCGGGCCTGCATCAGTCACCTCTCTGGCCCCCAAAGGCTATATCGGACTGCACTGCTGGTCAGCTCTCCAGCACTGCACGTGGCCCCCAAGGGGCTGCTTGGAGTGTACGATGTGTGTGTGTGTGAGATGTGTGCACAGCGGGTGGTATTCCTGCAGCTGCTGCATGTCCCTGTTCGCTCCCTGTATGACAGCCACTGTCCCAGAACAGGTCCACCCTCCGGGCAACACAGGGCACAGAAGGGGCAGAGAGGACTCGGCTCTTCCCCCTTTCCAGCAGTGTGATGTCTTCGATGTTTACCGTTGGTTTGCAGGCAAGCTGAGGAGCCCCTTCCTGCAGAAGCAGCTCACCCAACCGGAGACCCCCCTCAGCAGAGAGTCAGTTCACGCCACCTCAAGGCCCAGGGCAGGCAAGGCTCTCGGCTGCCCTGTGGGGAGTTGGGGGTGGGAGGGAGACGTGGCATGTCCTCTCCCCTCCCCTGGGTCAGAGTGGGCCGTGTCCTCCCGTGCAGATCTCCGCCAGGAGCCGGTGCCCAGCGCCCCTCCGTGCTCGGTGCCAGCGGAAGAGGAGGCCGTGTACGAGGAGCCCCCAGAGCAGGAGACCCTCTACGAGGAGCCTCCAATGGTGGGTTCTCTGCAGCAGGGCAGATGTGTGAAGGGCCCATGTGCCCGGAAACGCGCTCCTTGGCGGTACCCATTCCGTGGCTCCCTACCTGTGAATTACCTTGTTTAATTTTGGAGCATCCCGTGCCCCGTGTGCCCTCCCCCCAAGTCTGCCGTGAGCCCTGGTCACAGGCAGGGTTGAATCTGGGTAACCACGATTCCAGACTTCTCTTCTTCTTTCCCATCCGTGGGCAGGTGCAGCAGCAAGATACCAGCTCTGAGCGCATTGACCACTACCCGGGGCTGAGTGGGAAAGGGCTCTGTGCCCGGGCCCTGTATGACTACCAGGCAGGTAACGTGCTGCAGCCCTGCCACCTCAAACCACAGGGCCCAAGATCAGGAGGCAGGATTTGCGGACTCCCTCGAGGGGAGAGCCCTGGGGCGTCGGAAGGGAAGGCGGGAGGGTGCGAAGGGAGAGTGGGTGGGTGCCCTGCACAGCTCAGGCCTCCCCACATGCTGCGGGCAGCTACTTGCTGTCCACTGGTGTGAATCCCAGTTGCCCGCCTTGTCCTAGTGCCGGAAAGTGCGACTAGAGAAGAGGGGCCAGGCCTGGATGCCGGTGCCCCTGCTGACCCTGGGTAGAGGCCTCAGGGAGCAGGCTGATGTGTGGAAGTGCTGTGCTCCAGCCTTTCGCTGGGACAGTGAGCCCAGGGCCGGGCCCCGTAGGAAGGTGTGTGCTGGGGGAGTGGCCCCAGGAGCAGCGTCAGCACAGGCTGAGGGCCGGCTGGCCCAGGGCCCTCAGCACCGCATCTGGGCTCACCTTCTTTGCAGCCGACGAGACCGAGATCTCCTTCGACCCTGAGAACCTCATCACGGGCATTGAGGTGATCGACGAAGGCTGGTGGCGTGGCTACGGGCCGGACGGCCACTTTGGCATGTTTCCCGCCAACTACGTGGAGCTAATTGAGTAAAGGGCCCCGACTGCTGGCCGAGGCCAGGGGCTGTGCTTCCCCTCCCCTCCCAGACGCGACTTCCTCGTTGCTGGCAGAGGCGGCGTGAGGGCTGTGTACGGCACTTTTCTAGGAATGGGATCCCCCTGATGAGGGCAGGCCCTCGGGCTCCCTCTGGCTTGGGTGGCTCGGCCTCTGTTGCCCCAAATGCAGCAATAACCTGGTGATCTCCAGACGTGCTTCCAGCAGCTTCCCAAGTCCTCCCAACCAGCCTGGTCCTTGACCCCCAACAGAAGACACTGAACCAAGCCTGCTCAGGGCCAGCCTCTTAGTGACCTCTGCCCAAGGGGTACGGCACTGCCAGTCTGCGGGGGCGGGTCTGAGCAGGGGCATCTAGAGGTCTTCTTGTGCACTTGCCTTCTTTTCCTTTTCCTCTTGGCTTTAAGGGACAGTGTCTGTAGCTTCAGTGACCCTTGGGAACAGTGAACTTAGAGTTTATGACCAAAGTCAGAGTGGGTCATGACAATTTTGGTAGCAGTCTTTCTGGAACCTGCTCTGTGCTCCCCATTTCTCTGTCCCTCTGCCTGGGCTCTGGGCAGTGGAGATAGGGACAACCAAGCCCCCATCTAAGTATGTGAAGGAAGAGGTGAAAACATCAACAGACACTGCGTGTCCTTCCACGTGGCTCACTCTTGTCTGCTGGCCCCGGTGTGCACCTCAGTTGATACGGTTTAGGGAAAGTAACCATGGTGGCCTGTTCCTACTGTCTTTCCTTCTTTCTGCCCCAGCCTATCCGTGCCTGCTTCTGGAGTAAGAATTGCCCTACACCGGCCCTAGCTCCCATCCCTCCTGTTGTAGCCCTCATGTGTGCACCCTCAGACCTCTGACCAACCCTTAGCCACCTGGAGGAGGCATAAAGGTCAATGTGTGACTGCAAGTCAGCCTCCTGCATTTCAGTTCTCGGGGAGGGGCCGAGGGCCCCCCTGACCCCTGCCATGGGGAGCCTCCTCCCACGCAGGACAGCCAGTGTGCACGTGTGCCTGGAGTGAGGCACCTGCACCCACAGAGCGTCTGGGGAATTAAGCTCTTACGCTCTGGGAGGTGCCAGGTGGAAGCAGCTTGGGGCAAAGGATGCGCCGAGGGGGCTGTCGGCCCAGGTGGTGGCCAATCCCAGTGCCCCCTCCCCACCTGGCTGCAGGTGGCGTTTCCTGTCTTAGGCTGAGCTGCAGGCAGGCCTCACCGTGTCCTGATTTCTTAGGACAGCCTCCAGGGCCCACCCCAGCTATGAAAGCCCCTTGAATCAGGTATTGCCAGCTTTGAGGCCACCTGTGGGCTTGTCTGTCCCTGGACAAGGGGACCCCCGTGGGTCAGGGCTCAGGGTACCACCTTGCCCTTCCCACCCTGGGGCAACCAGGACAGTAGAGGACAACCAATGTGAAGGAAGTGGCATGTTGGCCACAGTCCTCGCTCGCCATGGGGAGGGCTGGGTCACTTGGACTCTCCCTAAGTGACCCTGGACACTCGGATTTACAGCAGGCTTGCCAAGTGGCTCTTCTGCTTTGCGGGTCATCGTAGGGGCTTGTCAGGAGCCACTCGATAGCCGGGGATAGGGAGGCTCTTGGCCTCTGTGTTCCCAGGGTCCCCACACCCAGTGGGGGAGGCTTGGGCAGGCAGCGGGGATCCGGGGCTCCAGGCCCACGGAACCAGCCCTGAGTGAGCACTGGGGGGCGGGCGTCCTGGGGCCACACTGGCCTGAGGCAGTGAGAGGACGTGCCTTTATTGCCAGAGCCCACCCTTCACTTGGCCTTGCCCTGGGCAGCCACAGCTTCCATGGCTTTGCGCACGGTCTCCTCGTCGCCCAGGAACCGCATGGGCTTGGTGGGCTTCAGTGCCTGGTCCAGCTCATACACGATGGGGATCCCCGTGGGCAGGTTCAGCTCCATGATGGCCTGGTCCGACATCCCTGGACCGGAGGAACAAGCGTCCTGAGCCCCTCCCAGCCTGTCTGCCAGGCAGCCACCTGCTCTTGCATTTAGCAGGCTTCGTGACCTTTACAGGCCACAGGGCTGTTGGCCAGGCAGCAGCCCTCCCACCCCAACAGCAAGGCCGCAGAAATGCTCCTCGAGAAGGTCAAGGCAGCCCTGAGACAGCAGCCTACAGAAATAGCTGTGGTGAACCGAGGACCTCGCTCCGGCCCGAGCTGGCCTCATCTGGGGTGACGCCATCGGCCCCCTTGGCCCAATGTGCGTTCTGGTCAGACTGGTGGGTGTTTGGGATCAGGAAAGACCTTAACCACTTGGCTTCCAGAGAGTTCTAGTTTCTGGACGTCCTAAGCAGCGGAGCAGGGCTGCTCCTGAGAAGGGGGGTGCGATAGGGACGGCGAGAAGCGCTGCCCGTGGCCGAGGTGGATGCAAGGCCCTGACAGGTGAAGAGAGTTCTCTGTGGAAACCCGACCCAACCCTGCTGGCCTCCCGAAGACCTGGCCTGGAATAGCAGCTCGACCTTTGGTATCGCTGTCATCCCGCCCAGCCCGCTGGTGCAGGGAGGCCTTAAGGGAACATGCTCTGGGCAGTGGGAGACCCCGGTCACGTTTGCCTCGGTGCATTCGTTTCTCCTGGACCAGGCTGCAGGGAGCCCCCACAAGGGAGGGAGGGCAGGTGGTCTTTCCATCTGCGAGGCTCAGCACCCGCCGTGAGGCGTCTGTGTGGACTCAGCCTCAGGAAGTCCTCAGAAAGGCGGACGGGGGCTTCCTTGGAGGAAGCCTGTCATGCTGGGAGGGGCTCCTTCCCTTTTAGTGGAAGCCAAGCTACCAACCTAAGGTCTCTGGCATTCTCCACACCCTGCACCTGTCTTTTGACTAGTCTTTTGCCCCGAGTGGGTGAGCTGGAGTGTGGGCAGGGGTGTGGGCAGGGTTGAGCAGGGCCCCACCCTCAGTCCCATATCCAGCAGCTGCCAGTGAAGTGACTTGACCAGGGTCACTCAGCAAGCTGGGATTTAGAGCCACATGGCCCTGCCTCTTCAGGGGTGGGTGTCCTTGGGCAAGATGCCACCCCTGGGCCTTCCCTCCTCTCCCCTGAGGCTTGTGTTGGGGAAGCAGGGCCAGCTGTGGACCCCTGTGCAGGGCCTGGGCCCTGGGTCAGTGGCGGCACACATTTTCACCCAGAATCTTCAGAAGGATACGTTACACAGTGTCCCAGTACACAACGGCAGTGGACGGTTCGTTCTTACAGAGCTGTTTTTTCAAGTGGTTTCTCGCCCCACCCAGTCTAGTTCACAGTTTGGAGGCCCTGCCCGGGGTGTGGATGTCTGTGAAGCCGCCTCGGCGAGGCAGCCGACACGTTTACGAAATGAGCAGCTGGGGGCTCACTGGTTCAAGGGGACGTGTCACCCCACCCGCCTCTGCCCACACCCTGTGTGAGGATGGGCCTCACCTTCCAGGTGCTTGACGATGCCCCGCAGACTGTTCCCGTGGGCTGCGATGAGCACCCTCTTGCCAGCCTTGATCTGGGGGACGATCTCATCATTCCAGAAGGGCAGAGCCCGGGCGATGGTGTCCTTGAGGCTCTCATGCGTGGGCAGCTCCCCCGGCTTCAGGCCTGCATAGCGACGTGCCTGGGGGCATCCGTGCGGCTGTTCACTCCCCAGACAGACCCCCCGACCCCCAGCCTGGGCCCCTGTCCCCAGACCTCCCCTCCAGCCCCGCACCCCAGCCACTCACCTTGCTGATGGAGTTGTAGTAGGGGTGCTTCTCATCCATGGGGGGTGGAGGTATGTCAAAGGAGCGCCTCCAGATCTTCACCTGCTCCTCCCCGTGCTTGGCGGCCGTCTCCGCCTTGTTGAGGCCAGTGAGACCCCCGTAGTGCCGCTCATTGAGGCGCCAGGTGCGCACCACAGGCAGCCACATCTGGTCCGTTGTGTCCAGGATGGTCCAGAGGGTGTGTATGGCCCTCTTCAGCACCGACGTGTAGCAGATGTCAAATTCCATCTTCACGTCCTTGATGGCATGGGCCCCCCTCTTGGCCTCCTCAGCCCCCTTCTCGCTCAGCTCCGCGTCGAACCAGCCGCAGAAGCGGTTCTCCTGGTTCCAGGTGCTCTCACCGTGCCGAACCATCACGAGGCGGTGGGTGGGCATGGTGGCGGCGGAGGGCACTCGCGGGCTGCAGACAGGGACAGGTGACCCCCAGGCGTCCCCAGCTTTATAACGATCCCCAGCCCCCGCCCCAGCCGACTGCCAGTCAGCATTCCAGGCCTGATGGGCGGCAGCAGGTGGCCGGCAGCAGAGCTGGGTGGAAGGCAGGCCGAGCGCCGGACTGGAAAAAGGGCCTCATCAGCTACCAGTCCCCACGTGCCCAGAGCCCAGGCTGGGCGGGGCTGCCGAGCAGGGCTGGGCATCAAGGGCAGAAGTCCCGGCCTCCAGCAAGCCTGAAAGGGGGCTAGCGGGAACAGGAGGACTGGCCGGGGAAAGACTCCCCCTGAGGTCGGGGTCCCGAGCCCTGTCAGCCTGCCGCCTGCTCTCGGGGGTTGCCGCTGTCGGGCAGGGGCACGGGAAAATCCTGACTGCTTCCTCCGAGTCACTCAGCGCAACCGGAGACAAGCCCGCGTCTCGGGAAGTACACTAGCCTGGTATCAGAGGGAGCCAAGGGTGTGAGTATGCATGTGTGTCCGCCCACCCACACGTGCGTGCCTAGGTGCGCGTGCACGTGCTGCGCACGTCCTACTGCATGTACACGTCCGTGTGCCTCGCGCTCACGTCTATGTTGCATGTGCGCACACCTGGGAGGAGCTGTGCCGTCATCTCCACACGGGAGGAGGAAAGGTTGCTGTGGGCAGAGCGGGGGAGCTGGTGAGGAGCGTAGCCCTGGGGAGAGGTCTGGCCTTGTGGGAGGTGGCAGCAGTGTAGGGCAAGGGCTGAGCTGGGCAGAGCTGGGTTTCCAGGACAGCCAGGGGTAGCTGGGGGCCTGGCTGCTTGGGCCAGAGAGGAACAGAAGGTTTTCTGCTTTCGCATGCCTTTGTCAAGTTCTTATCCACATGTGCCACACTCTCCCACTCTAGTTACCTTCACCCCAGCCAGGCTCACTCCTCCCAGCTGAAACCACCTTTGAAAAGAAAAAGAAAAATTCAGGATTCATGTCCCCAAGGAGCCCCAGAATCAGAGGTACTGGTTATTAGATCTGTGCCCAGCTCATCAGGAGCGCCCAGAGGTAGGCCGAGGTTGGGACTAGGGGCAGTGTAGAGTTGGGTGCAGGCCCAGGACTTCTGCATTCAGGTTTTGGGGGACAAGGGCTACTGCGATCTGGGCTGTGAAGAAACGAAGCAGAGCGGCGGGGTCAAGATGCCAAGTTGCAGGTGCACCAGCAAAGAACCAGTCCTCATAGAACAGCAAACAGGTGTGTGGCAGAGCAGCATAGAGGGGCTGGGCCTTGTGTCCTGACGAATGGGAATCACTGGAGAGTCTGAAGCATGGTTATGTTTTAAAGTCACTTGCCGCTGTGGAGGCAGGATCGGAGGCCAAAGGCCCTGGTAGGGGTGGTGGCTTTGGGTTAGGTGAGAACAAGGCTGCTTGGCCTGGGCTGGGTGCAGGTGGCGTGGTGAGGAGCTGCTAGGCTGGGGGGCCGTACTGCCAGCCAAAGCGGGGGATGGGACATGCCTTCCTGCCTGTCTGATGGCTGTTGAGAAAGCCGGGGACCGCAGAGGAGAGTTAAAGCCTGAGAGGACTAGACACAGCTTGTAAGCCTTGGCTTGCTCCAGCCTGACTCTTACTCATTCAAAAAGTGTTTGTTGGGCATGTCTGGTGTGCCAGCGCTGTTGAAGCACTGGGCAAGCAAGGCCCTGCTCATGGGGGTCTCCATCCCAGTCATGGGAGATGGACAACATGTGATGTGTGGCATGGTAGGCAGCGATGAGGTCCATGGAGAAGCAAACAAGCGGGCAGGAGGGCTGCTGTTTCAACAGGACTGTCCTGGGAGGGTGGAGCGAGCACCCTCCACTGGTCTCTCCGCATGACCACAGCTATAAATCCTGGACAAAGGCAGAAAGCAGATCTCAGAGAACTGAAAAGTCAGTAGCAGGCAGATGAAGCGGATCAGATTCCAAGTTCCATGGTGAGTTTACCATTTTTTTCTCCCAGGATTGCCCAGCTTGAAACCTAGAAGTGCCCCCAGTGTGGACAGAAAGGGCTCCAGAGAATCCCTCTGGTCCAAGGAACAGAAACAAAGTTCCTACAGGCCCCTTCCCTTTTTCCCCTTCTTACCCACCACAGCTCCTGGACAGTAACGTAGAGGTGGCAGTGTTAGCCAGGCAGGCACCTGAAACCTTGAGAGAAGAGCTACCCTCTAACCAGAGGAGGTGAGGCCACAAGAGTGTATGGCAAACACCCGCTGCTTTCTCTCTCCTCCCTCCTGCAGCTGAGGATGGGATGCAGCTGCAGGAACTGTGCGGCAAGGGGGGGAAACTAAGGCCCCAGGTTTCTGGCTGAAGTCTTGGAAAGCAGGCCCCAGGGAGCTGTCAAGTATCAGGTCAGGCATGAAGAGGAGGGAGATTAGGTGAGTGATGCAGTACAGTTACAGGTGAATTCCTGGGCTCCCCGTACTTGTGGGCTCTGACCCAGGCTGACCCACTGGTGACCTGATTACCTGCCAAAACAATACGATCTACATTCTCCTTAGAATTTAAACAGACTCTCAAAATAATGTTCAAAATACCTAGGACAATTTTGCATGTGACTGTCCAGTTCTCCCCAAACCATTTATTGAATGTCCTTTCCCTATTGTATATTCTTGGCTCTTTTGTTGTAAATTAATTGACCACATGTGGGTGGGCTTATTTCTGGGTTCTCCATTTCTGTCCTTTGGTCTATGTGTGGGTTTTATGCCAATATCATACTGTTTGAGCACTATAGCTTTGTAATATAGTTACAAAGAACTGTGATGTCTCCAGCTTTGTTCCTCTTTTTCAAAATTGCCTTAGCTATTCATGGTCTTTTGTGGTTCCATACAAATTTTAGTGTTTTGCTTTGTTTTTTTCTTTTTTGAGAAAAATGCCATTGGAATTTTGATAGGGACTACATTGAATCTATAGATTGCTTTTGGTAGTATGGACATTTTAACCATGTCAATTCTTCCAATCCATGAGGATGGAATATTTTTACATTTATTGGTGTCATCTTCAAATTTTTCATCAATGTCTTAGTTTTTGGTGTACAGATCTTTTACCACCTTAGTTAAATTTATTTCTAGTTGTGTAATTCTTTTGATGCAATTGTAAATAGGATTGTTTTTTTAATTTCTCCTAGTTGTTAGTGTATAGAAACAGACTGATATTTGTGTATTAATTTTATATTCCAAAACTTCATTGAATTTGTTTACTAGTTCTGACAGTTCTAGATTTCTTCTAGATTGTTGAATTTGTTGGCATAGTAGTTTCTTATGATCCTTTGTGTTTTATCAGTTGTAATGTATCCTCTTTCATTTATTATTTTGTTTGAGTCCTCTCTCTTAAATTGATAAGAGTAGCTAAAGGTTTGTCTATTTTGTTTCTTTTTTCAAAGAACCAGCTCTTAGTTTCATTGATATTTTCTGTTGTCCTTTTAATCTCTGCTTCATTTATTTCTGCTCTGATCGTTGTTACTTCTGTCCTTCTGCTAACTTTGGGCTTTTCTAGTTCCTTCAGGTGTAAGGTTAGATTGTTTATTTGAGCCCTTTCTTTTTCTTAATGTAGGTGTATATTGCTATGAGCTTCCTTCTTAGAACTGCTTTTGCTGCATTCCATATGTTTTGGTATGTTGTATTTCCATTTTCATTTATCTTAAGATGTATCTGGGTTTCTCTTTTGACTTCTTTTTTGACTCATTGTTCAGGAGTATGTTGTTTAATCTCCACAGGTTTGTGAATTTTCCAGGTTTCTTGTAATTGATTTCTAGTTGTACACCACTGTGTCAGAAAAGATGCTTGATATAATTTGTCTTCTTAAATTTATTAAGACTTGCTTTGTTGATATTATCCATCCTGTAGAATATTCCATGTGTGCCTGAGAAGAATGTGTATTCTGTTGATGGATGAAATGTTCTGTATATGTCTGTTAAGTCAATCTGATGTAATGTGTAGTTTTAATCCACTGTTTCCTTATTTTCTGTCTGTATGATCTATCCATTGTTGAAAGTGGGATATTAAAGTCCCCTACTATTACTGTATTTCTGTCTACTTTTCCCTTTATGTCTGTTAATGTTTGCTTTATATATTTAGGTGCCCCTATGGCAGGTGCAAAAATATTTTTAAATATTTGAAATTACTCTTGTTGGATTGACCCTTTTACCTTTATATAATGACATTCTACGTCTCATACATATATAAAAATTTTTTATTGGAGTATAATTGATTTACAATGTTGTGTTAGTTTCAGGTGTACAGCACAGTGAATGAGTTATACATATAGCCACTCTTTCTTAGATTCTTTTCCCATATAGGCCATTACAGAGTGCAGAATTCCCTGTACTATACAGTAGGCCCTCCTTAGTTATCTATTTTATTTTATTTATTGAAGTATAGTTGATTTATAATGCTGTGCCAATCTCCGCTGTGCAGCAAAGTGACTCAGTTATACACATGTATACATTTTTTAATAGTCTTTTCCATTATGGTTTATCACAGAATATTGAATATAGTTTCCTGTGCTATACATTAGGACCTTGTTGTTTATCCATTCTAAATGTAATAGTTTGCATCTACCAACCCCAAACTCCCAGTCCAACCCTCTCCCTCCCCTTCTCCCCCTTGGCAACCACAAGTCTGTTCTCTATGTATATGAGTCTGTGTTTTGTAGATAGGTTCATTTGTGCCATATCTTAGATTCAACATATAAGTGATATCATATGGTATCTGTCTTTCTCTTTCTGACTTACTTCACTTAGTATGATAATCTCTAGTTGCATCCACATTGCTGCAAATGGCACTATTTTGTTCTTTTTTTACGGCTGAGTAGTATTCCGTTTTATATATATATATACATATATATATGTATATATATATGTATATATATATATATATATATACACCACATCTTCTTTATCCATTCATCTATTGATGGACATTTAAGTTGTTTGCATGTTTTGGTTATGTGAATAGTGCTGCTATGAATATAGGGGTGCATGTATCTTCTTGAATTGTAGGTTTGTCTGGGTATATTCCCAG